TCTTTTTTGTTTTTGGTACCGGGGATCGAACTTGGTACCTTGTGCTTGCAAGGCAGGCGGCAGAACCACTGACCTAAATCCCCAGCTCTACCTGGCTTTATTTCTGACACCCAGCCTCAGACACTGTTAGACCCCTGCAGCCTGTCCACTGCGTTTGGTAGCTATGAGAATCACAACAGACATGATGGAAAAAGCATTCAGATGCAGTAAGTACATGGACCAACTCCACATGGCAAATGTATTCATTATGGGTCGCAAACATGTACTAGTGAAAATAAAACTTTTTTTAAAATTTAAAATACAACTGACAAGCCAGGTGTGGTGGCACATGCCTATAATCCCCGCACTCAGGAGGCTGAGCCAGGAGGATCACAGCAGGTTCGTTGTCAGCCCAGGGTACCTAGTGGGTTCAAGGCCAGCCTGAGCATAGCTAGACCGAGTCTCAAAAACCAAAACCAAAAAACCCAGGTATTTGCTGACCATTAACACCAAAAGATTACTTAGGATCTAGTTCTAGAAAATTCTCACAAGTCAAAATATTTTGGAGTCACAAGTCCCTGATAAAAGGGCCTGGATTTCCTGTCCCTTGCTAACCTGGTCAGGGCAGCACCGGGTGGGATTTGGGGTGGGGGCGGCAGCAGGTGGCTGGTCCAGTTTCTGCGCAGTACACCCACTCCAAGCTGCTGTTTTTAAACAGTCGCTGCTTGTTTTCACAGGGTCACTGCCAAGGTCACCCAGGAGGACTCTGACAGCGCCAGCCCACACATGGCCACAGCCTCTTGGTGGCGCTCCCTGTCACCTGCAGCACTCTTGTGTCTTCGGGGGCCCCGAATCCAAGGGTAGAGCGTTGTCCCCATGCTCTGGGCTCCACCAGCCTCTGGGCTCCTCCAGCCGGGCTGCTCCGGCCCTGCTCAAATCCTCAGCCCTCACCGCCTCGGCGCAAGTGCCCCGGCCCCCAAGGGCCTTCTCGGTGAGACCCTGTCTCAAACACACGCTAAGAGATAAAATGTGACTTCTAATCCTAGGACTCTGAGGTTGGGTCAAGTTTTTTTGAAGGAAACAAAAAGCACTAATCTTCTTTGGGGAAGAGATAGTAGGACACTTGTAAAATACAATTGTTGGATGAAATAGAAATTAATTCAGCCACTTTGGAAATCAGTAGTGTTTAGTGAAGTTGAATATGTTCACATCCTGTATTCCAGCTGTTTTACTTCTGGATACTGTACACAGCCATATAAATGTGAATATAGGTCCAGCAGACACTTGTCCAGAAATGTTCCTAACAGGTTTAATTACAGTCAAAACCAGGAAGCAAGCTGAATGTCCATCAACCACAATAGATTAATAAATTCGGAATATGCATATCGTGGACTAGTATACAGCGAGGAAGACGAAGACGCTACTGGTACGTGCAACATGGTGACTTTCCAAGCATAGCTGTGAGCAGAACCCAGACAAGCTTAGGATGTAGCCCAGTGGCAGAGCACTTCCCTCACACGTACAAGGCCCTGGGGTCAATCCTCAGCACCACACACACACACACACACACACAGTAAAAACATGCCAGACACACATGAATACACTGCATGAGTCCATATAAAGTTCAAAACTGGCTGGGCACGGTGGCGCCTGGGAGGCCGAAGTAGGAGGATCACAAGTTCAAGCCCAGCCTGGGCCACTCAGTGAGACCCTGTCTCCAGTGAAAAATTCTGGGGTGTAACTCAGGGTACAATGCACCTGCAGAAGGACAGTGCCAAGCCAGTGTCCCCGTGGGGGACAGAGCTTCCCGTCCAGGCCACCCAGCCACCTGTGGCTCCTGACCCAGGCTCAGAGTAAGGTGGCTCTCACACCAAACTGTTAAACATCTGTCATCTCAGTGCTCGGGAAGCTGATGCAGGAGGGTTTCTGTGCATTTGGAGTCAGCCTGGGCTCCCTAGTGAGACCCCGGGGACAACTTGGACTACTTAGGGAGTCTCAAAACAGACACGCAAACAAAAAGGAGAAACATCGCAGAGTGCCCGCGGGGCACCTGCCCCGGTTCTTCCCAGAGGCTGGGTCTGGAAGGAAGTCCGAGGACGGAGGACGTGGCGCGAAGGAGGAGCCACTGCCTGGCATGAGGTACTCAGACGGCCCCGGAAGGGCTGAAAGGAGTCTTCAGGGAGACCGCTGGTTTGGGAAAGTCTGTCTGGAAGAGCCGGGCTGGGTGCGAACGGTGGGGCGGGGAGAGGCTGAGCGTCCGACACGATGTCACAGCGCATGCGCCGCCCTCCCGCCATCTTCAGCTCCCGGCGGAGTAGCGTAAAGGGTTTTTGCTTTGTATGGGTCAGTTTCATTTTTGATCATTTTTGTTTTGAGACAGGGTCTCACTGTGTAGTCCAGGCTGGTCTCAAACTCACTATGAAGCCCAGGCTGGTCTCGAACTTGCGAGATGTTCCTGCCTCGGCCTCGGGAGTGGTTTGGTGGTTGGTTTTTTTTTTTTTGGTACCAGGGATCGAATCCGGGTCCTTGGGCTTGCCAGACAGGTGGCGGAACCACTGAGCTCAATCCCCGCCCTGGTTTGGTCTTTTGAGACAGGGTCTTGTTACATTCCCCAGGCTGGCCTCGAACTTACTTCCTCAGCCTCCCAAATGCTGGGATTACAGGCATGCACCACCACCCCGGCCTTCATTTTTTTTTTTTAAAAGACAGGGTTTCGCTATGTAGCCCAGGCTGGCCTCGAACTCATGGGAATCCTCCTGCCTCAGCCTCCTGAGTGCTGGGACTACAGGTGTGCACCTTCACTCCCGGCTTCATATTTTAATATAAAAAGAATCTCTTACAAATTAGTAGGAAACTCAACCCAACTGAAAACCTGAATAAGCAATTTGCAGAAAAAGAAACACAAACGGCTTTCAAAAATGAAAAATGATTAAACTAGGCAACTGTGAAGGTGGAAAAACAAGCTGTATAGAAAATGCAACGTGAGACCCAACCCGGGTCAGCAACACACGATATTTATGTAATAGTGAACCCCAAATACCTCTGCTTCCCGAGCTACCCAGACCACGAACTGAGGATGTTCTACCACTTGATCTGGGGCTCCCCTGTGTGCAGCACTGGGATGGAACCCAGGGCCTTCACAATAAGCTTTGTCCCCAGGCTTTTTATCTTCTTTGAGGGAGGGTCTAAGTCCCCAGGCTGCTCAGGCCGGGTTCCAAATTGGGACTCTTCTGCCTCAGCCTCCCAGAGTACTGGGATCACAGGCTTGGGTCAGGGTCACTCTGCCTGGCAGGTGGGGACTGCTGGCAGCTGTCTCCTCCAGATGCAGTCGGACCGTGGAGAGCCAGGCCCCAGGTACCCCATCCTGGATGCTCCGGTGGCTCTGTGTTTCCAGCTGTGCGTCCTCCCGAACTCCAGGAACACCTGCCCCTCTCTGCGGAGCTGCTTTTCTTTGTTTCTTTGAGACAGGGTCTCACTGTGTCTAGACTAGCCTCAAACTCACAGTGATCCTCCTGCCTTAGCCTCCTGTGTTGGGATCACAGAGGTGCGCCACCAGGCCCAGCTGAAGAGTCTCTTCAGTACCCCCGGCTGGGCCTAAATGGGGACAAATCCCCCCAGTCTAGCACTGAGACGCCCAGCACGGTGACCCTTTTCAGCCTGACCCCCAGCTCCGTCCCCTGCAGCTCCCGGGAATTCCTGGGCCTCTGTGTTCCAGACCAGTGGAGGCAGAGGCAGGAAGAACGGCTTTGCAGGGGCGTCCCATCTGCAGCCCTGCCTGGTGTCTGCAATCTCTGGAGAGCACGGGGGCCCTCTGCACTCATTGTTCCCCGCAGTCTTCCGTGGGTCCCAACCCCTGTGCTACCTGGGAACCTGTTACACCTCTTATGAAAGGAGATGGTTACACAATCACACCCCGATGTTGTCAGGCGGGGGTGCAGGGGTGCCTGTGATACCCTCATGCATCGTGAAGGGGAGGCTGAAGGGAGCTCACAGCTGATAAATCAAGAAGGAGCAGCTGGGCGTGGTATCATCCCAGCACTCAGGAGGCTGAGGCAGGAGGATCACTGTGAGTTTGAGGCCACCCTGGGCTATACAGCGAGATCCTGTCTCAAAAAACCAAAACAGATGGAGTCTGAAGCCTGAGAAACCTGTATGTTAACAGTAACTAGAATTTTTCATCTCAACAAATACCGAAATTAGTACCAAAAGTGCTGTTTAAAAAAAAGAATCATGCCAGGTGTGGTGGCACATACGTGTAACCCCAGTACTTAGAGCCTGAGGCAGAACTGCTGTGAGTTCAAGGCCAAGCCTGGGCTACATATTGAGACCCTGTCTTAAAAAAACCCTAAGTAAATAAAGAACAAAACACTAAAAGCTGTGTCGTTCAGAATTGGTCAGCAGGAAGCAGATGTGGGAAGATATAGGGCTGGCAGCCCTGTAATATGGTGACAACAGTTGTCACCTGTGTGTTCTGAATTTGTGGTTCTGCAGAAGAAACTAGAAAACAGTGCAGGAGCCTGGGCATGGGGCTGAGAGAGGTTCAGAGACTCAGGGCTGCCCAGAGGGGGAAAATCCAACTTTTGTTAGATTCTGCTCTGGAAAATAGGAAAATGAGCAAGGTTTTGGGCAACAAATCCCCAGGGAGAGAGCCAGGAGTGGTAGCACATGCCTCTAATCCCAGCACTAAGGAGACTGAGGCAGGAGGATTGCTGTGAGTTCAAGGCCAGCCTGGGCTACACAGTGAGTTCAAGGCCAACTAGAACAAATAGCAAGATCCTGTCTCAAAAAAACAAAAAACAAAACAAAACAAAAAGATATGCTGCGCATATACCAACTCCCCACATAGGAAGAGATGGAGGGGGAGAAGAGAGGGAAGAAAAAGGACTTCAGATGTATTACGTGCGTGGACCAACTCCCCATGAGGAATGCAATCATGTACTGCAGACATGGACTCATAAAATATAAACAGTGAAGCCAGGCGTGGTGGTCATTCCAGCACTCAGGAGGCTGAGGCAGGAGGATTGCTGTGAATTTGAGGCTTTGAATTTTTAATGACTACTTCATTAGACAAAAATATACAATTTTACAGATCACTATGAGGTCATTCACTGCAAGCAGCTCCTGGAGAAAAGTGCACCATGTTACAGCTAGTGTTTATTGCCAATCCTGACAAGCAGTGGCGATGCTGTTTCCTCTTTGTGTCGGGTCGCACCTCACAGCCATGCTGAAGGGACCAGGAGACCCAGGAAGGAGGACAGCACGTCTTCACACAGAGAAAGCTGAGAACACCGATGGGGAGGTCACAGGAGATGCAATCAAGAAACTAGGAAAGAAGAGTAAAACAAGGTTTTTCAGGGGCAGGGGAAAATGCCTTTGACATTCTCAGTAGCAACTCAGGAAATAGTTTTCTAGGTTGTAGATGCAGCCTACTCAAAAGTGAGCTCCAAAGAAGTCTGCAGACTTCTAAAAAGTACCACTTATACCAGCTAAGGTCATGAGTTTGCCATGTGCCAGATTCTCCAATCTCCAATGGCCTCTGCGTCTCTCTGAGAAAAATGTATGCACTCTCTTTCCTAGCTCACCTGGAGTGGAGCATTAGTGTGGAGATTTTTGGCAGAGGAAAGACTGCATTTTGACTGTATGTGTTAAACTGGAGTTTGAGGCCAGCCTGGGCTATGTACTGAGATCCTGTTTCAGCTCCCCCATCCCGAAAGAGAAAGAAAAAAGAAATCAAAAGATGAACTAATGGACTAACTACAATTCACCGAAGTCGGGCTGGCGCTGCATAGCTGTCATCCCAGTGCTCTGGGAGACTGACGCAGGGGGATCGCAAGCTCAAGCCAGCGTGGGCAATGTAGTAAGACTTTGTAGCAAAATAAACAAAATTTTCTTAAAGGCCAGGGGTGGAGCTCAGTGTGAAGGCCCTGAGTTCAGTCCCCAGCACCACTAAGATGAGACTTATCAGAACTAAAGGCCCAGAAAGAGCTCTGCTTTATAAATCAAGCAAATAACTAAAAAATGTTAATTCTCTGACTGCATTGTATTTTGGAAGGTTATCGAAGTTGCTGATTAAGGATAAAGAAACAATTTGAATTTCAGAGCCCTTTCCTGATGTTACATCATCTGAAGTGGGATGGGGTGAGGTGATCATTTTGCACTGATAGAAAACAGGGTCAGGAAAATCTAGGAAGAAAATTTAGAATCAATGCAAATCAATTGACTTTATAATTCATGAGTTAATTATTGTTAAAGGTAGAAATATCTGCTATGCAACCCTGGCATCTAGATGGAAAGGAACATGACGCCAAGTAGGGAGGGTTGATTTTTGACAATTTATAAGCACTTAAATCAGAATCTTTTGCTGTAAGTATACAGTTTTTGAGGAATTATTTTAGCCAATATCCCACGACAGGAAATGCAGATTAGACTGGCATTGAAGAGAAACGCCCCTCGGAACTGAAAGTGTAAATAAGGATTAAAATGAATAATTGATAGCGTGAAATAGGAAGAAAAGGTCCAAAGGGGCAGGGGAGGGGGAGGGGTAGGAGAAAGGAAAGAAGGGAAAGGAAAAAATGGAAACAGTCTTTGTAAATAGGGAGGGGTGGCGAGGTGAAGGGAGGGCAGGGGAAGGGGGAAAAATAAGAACTAAGAGAGATTACCTAAAGGTGCAGGATCCCAATGAGGGATGTAACTGTATTTATACCTAAAACGTACCAATAAAAGAATTTAAGAGGGAAAAAAAAAAGCGCCCTGCACCCAGAGTAAGGGAGGCGCCGGCCTAGGCACAGAAACCAACCGGAAGCAGGCAGGCGGGGTCAGAGGGAGCGGAAATTCCAGCGCGCAGCTGTTGGGATTTGGGGACGCGGGTGGAGGCGCTTTTCAAACACTTTATGAATACTGGGATTTTGTTACACTTTTATTAGTACGTATTTGCAGTACATAATGATTACATTCATCACTGTCCCTCTATTAGTGCATGTTGCAGTACAGGTCCCTAACATCTTCATGCTTATTTTGGTACTGGGGATTGAACTCCGGACCTCGCGCTTGCATGGCAGGCGCAGTTCCACCGAGCTAAATCCGGGCCGTCTTCATTCTTTTCCCATCACCTTCCTCACTCTCCTTCCCTCTCCACCTCTTGGTTCCTTTCCCATCTGCAAAACCTAACTCCCTATTTCCTATTATCTTTTATTTTGTTCATGTTTGGGGTTTCTCATGCAAGAGAGCCATGTGATAATAAAGCTCATGTGCCTGAGTTATTTCACTTAACATTATGGTCTCGAGGTGCATTCATTTTCCCACAGATGACTTCCTTATGGCACAGTAGTACTCCACTGTGTGTAAATACGTTTTCTTTATCCATTCATCTGTCAGTGGACACATGGGCTGCTTCCAAGACTGTGATTCTTTTAATCCAGCAAACAATTCACTATGAAGTGCCAGGTAATCTATGTAAAATCACTGTTACACCTCAGGAACTCAGTGAAGTAGGCACAACCATCTTTGTGTATTGACGAGGAAATGGAGGTTTATAGAGGTTAGGAGGCTGTTGAAGGTCACTTCCTTAAGTAGCAAAATATCTCATAAAAAATAAACAAGCCAAGTGATAAACAGGCCACAATGACCTAGCAAGCTATTGTTTAATTATAGCTGTGTGAATAAGGTCATGTTTTCTTTTCTTTTTTTTGAGTCTGGGTCTCTCTTTGTAGTTCTGGCTGTCCTTGAACTCACTACATAGCCCAGGCTGGCCTCAAACTCTCAGTGATCCTCCTGTCTCAGCCTCTGGAGTGCTGGGATTACAGGTGTGTGTCGCCAGGCCCATCTCCTTTTTCAGGTTCGTTTTAACCATACTGTCTCCCCACCCAGAACCCCGTACCAGGGCTCAAACTCAGGACCTTACGCTTGCCAGGCAGGTGCAGTGCCACTAAGCTACCTCCCCAGCCTGAGGTTCATTTTATATCATATTTTTTTTGGGGGGGGGTACTGGGAATCAAACCAGGACCTTGTGCTGGCAAGGTGGGTGGTGGAACCACTGAGGTAAATCCCTGGCCCCCGAGGTTCATTTTAAATAAAATACATTTTTTAAAACTCTACAGTAATTGCTTCTACTGAGGCTGTGTTTCATCCTCATTTTCTCTTGATTGCGTTCTGCAGTGGGCACAGATCCCAGGGCCTCACACATGCTAAGCATGTTCTGCCACATGCTCTCTCCAGGCCCAGGCCCAGGCCCAGGCCCAGGCCCATGGCTTAGATTCACAGGAGTTGAGGACACAGCCTCTTACAAGCTCTTCTTTTTTTTTTTTTTTTTTTGAGACAGGGTCTCGATATAGCCCAGGCTGGGCTCAAACCCACGGTGACCCTTCTGCCTCAGCCTCCCGAGTGCTGGATCACAGGGGTGCCCACCACAGCGGGCTGCACTTACTTGCTTACCTTCCCTCCTTGTGTACCAGAGGAGAATAAAGAGGAGGAAAGGAAGGGAAGATAAGCGTGCGGGCTTTTCCTCTTCTCCCTGACATCGCTTCCCCACACTGTGGACAGCGGACGGGAGGACTCGCATCCTTCGAGGTTGCTTCCGTCGCCCCATGTCTGAAGGCGACACTCCTCACAATGCCTGGTGTCCCTGCTTGGGAGTCACAGCCGTGCTGGGCCAAGGTCCCTGTCACACTGGTACGCTGCAGTTTCTTTTCCAGTCCATGGCTACAGCCCCAACGGTGGCACCTGTGACACCGCCGGTCTATCCTGTGCCCTGTCATTGCCTTTCTGTGAAACCTGCTGCCCATTTCTGGTCACAGGGCGGCAGGTTGGTCCACTGTCACTGCTGTTTCTGAGCTCACTGCAGCAGCATGAGCAGGTGCTGGTAACAAGGCATGGTACCGCCCACAGGACAGACGGAGGAGGCGCTCAAGAACCTCGGCCAACAGATAACACACGGTCTGGAGGGTTCCATTCACACCAGTCAACAGTCACTAAATAAATACCTGAGCCGCTGCAGTGGTGCATGCCTGAGCTCCCAGCAATCAGGAGGCTGAGGCAGCAGGATCTCTAAGTTCAAGGGAGTCCTAAACTACACAGCAAGACCCTGCCTCAAAAAAAAACCAAACAAATCAGGAGGATGAGGAGCAGCAGCAGCAATAGCAGCAGCTGAGAGGAACCAGGGGTCAGGTCGCTCACTGCAGACCTGAAACTAGATCCTTGGGGTGCTTCACCACAGCCTTCCTAACTTTACACAGGGAACAGGTGCCTGGAGGAGGCACCTTTGGGGCAGTCTATGGGAGTGTTTCATTTTCTTTACTACTTAATTTTTATTGCATGCTTGTGGTCCCAGCACCCAGGTGGCTGAGGTGGGAGGGTCGCTGCAAGTTTGAGGCCCGTGTAGACTTCACAGGGAGATCCTATTTCAAAAGACAAAAAAACCAAAACTCAGTGGAACCAAGTTGTGGACTTTCAGAGAACAGGGCCAGTGTGGCCTGGCAACCAGGGCAGCCCCGGCGGGCTCGTCCTGCCTGTACCTGGGCCCTTCCTGTGCCTCCAAGTGGAGGTGTTGCTCCAACAAACCCACCCTCTGCTTCACTCTGTGTCCCTTCAGAGCCACCTTCCGAAGGATGGGGAGGGACGCAGGCTCTGTCTAGCTGACTTCCACCTCAGCGTCACATAGGATTGCTGTTTCCGTAGCAGGGTCAAATACTATTCTGTGGGGTTCAACTTCCTCCTTCTCCCCGCCTCCTTTTTTGAGTCAGGGTCTCAATACTTAGTCCAGTTTGGCCTTGAACTCACTATGTAGGCTGGGCTGGCCTAGAACTCACAGCAACCCCTCTGCCTCAGCCTCCCTAGTGCTGGGATTACAGGTGTATGCCACCATACACTGGCGTGGCCTCAGAATTTTATTTTTGCCTCAATATTTTTATGAGATTGACTTAATTTTATTTGCTGTATTGGGGACTGAACCCAGGGCCTTTGCACTGAGCTATATCTGTACTTTTGTTTCTCTTGAGACACAGTTTCACTGAGTTGCCCAGCCTGGGCTTGAACTGGTGATTCTCCTGTGTCAGCCTCCCAGTGCTGGGATTTCAGGTGTCGCTCACCATGACCGGACTATTTTTTCTTGAATGTGGAATGAACAGTTCTTACCAGGCTACGACTGAGCATCTGCAAGTCACCAAGACCACTTGTTTCCCCATCTTCTTCCAGGGCCACGCACTCATTCTTCCTGACATTTGGCTGGCCTCACCCCTTTCCCCCCTTTCCTTCCTGAGGGGGCTATGCTTCCCACCCATCTCCTAAGCCAGGTGCCCGAAGCAAGGGCCTGCTCATTCAAGTACAAAATTCGGACCAGAGAGATCACCCGGCTTTTGCTGTGTGTTTTGGACACCTAGCTTTTGTTTTGTTTGTGTTGTCCAGGCTGGCCTTGAACTCATAGTGATCTTTCTTGCCTCAGCCTCTCAAGTACTGGGATTACACTTGCACACCCCATGCCTGGATCATTTTTTCTTTTTTTCGGTACCAGGGATTGAACTTGGGACCTTGGGCTTTCGAGGCAGGCGGCAGAACCACTGAGCTACATCCCCGCCCCCCCCCTTTTTTCTGTTTAAAAATGTCCTAATTTTACTTTTATTCTTGAAACCCTTTTGCTTTCATTGTTGTTCAGATGTACAAAATCTAGTTGTATGTGTCATCTTGAAACTCTTGGGCACCAGGTGTGGTGGCGCATGCCTGTCAATCCCAGCACTCAGGAGGCTGAGGCAAGAGCATCTCTGTGAGTTCAAGGCTAGCCTGGGCTACAAAGCAAGACCCTGCCTTAAAAAAAAAAAAAAGGACCAGGGATTTAGCTCAGTGGTTTCGCCGACTGCTGCACAAGTGCAAGGACCCGAGTTCGATCCCCGGCACCCCCCCCCCCCAAAGATCAGTGGAAAAAAAAAAGAAACTCTTGGGGCTCCTCTTTGGCTGTGGGAGTATGATCCACCCCCAAGAGGGGAAGTATGAAGCGTGGAGGGCTTAACACCCAGGGGGACCCCTACTCCTGCAAGGCGAGGCGCAGCAGGAATAAACACCCAGCTCGAGGGCCTCAGCTGGCTGATTGTGGAGCACATCCCACATGGGCTCCGGAGGGCTGGGGGCCAAGTTCCTGGGGCCGAGATGACAGAACACTCACCAGACATCTGCTCTTGGGTTTTCTCCATTCCCTGTATTTCTTTCTTAACTTCCATGTGGTGCTTCCTGCTATCTTCATCTCTCTCTCTCTTCTTTCTGTTGTTTTGAGTCAGGGTCTCACTCTGTAGTCCAGGCTGGCCTTGAATTCACTGTGATCCTCCTGCATCGGCCTCTGGTGATGGGATGACAGGTGTGCACCACCACGCCCAGCTCCCTGCATCGTTTTCTAGACAGACTATTCACAGCCAGAGGCTAGTCTCCAGGTCCGCTTTTGGGAAAAGTAGGCTATGTTTAAGGGGTGGCTGCTTCAGGGATATAGCCCTTCAGGGCTCTACACAAAAGAGGGGTTCACTGGGGCTCCTCGCTGCACTGAGGAGTCTTGGACATTGATTTTTTTTTCTCTTAGCTCTGAGGCTGTGAGAGGAACTGCTCAACCTTGGGCGTCTCAGAGTATCTTTGTGCCTGGTGCCCAGCCCTGGGGACAAAGGGTCTGTCGCACAACACAGGACTTTGCTCCCCAGCTCAGCAGGTCTGTGGGCTCCAGCGGGGACGGCGGCAACATTTCCTTCACTCTCTTGGGACTTTGAGCAAATGCAGAAATGCTTTGTCCAACCTTTCTAGTTATCCTCAAAGGGAGAATTCATCCAAATTACAAAGTCCCCCAGCTTTGTTTTTAACCATATATACTGTGTGTGTACAGTTAAGGCTTCTCCACTGAGCTATATCCCCACCCCTTTTGTTTCAAGAGAAGTTCTTGCTACCACGATTCACCAAGTTACCAAGGCGGGGGTTAAACTTGCAATCATGCCTCAATTTCCTAGAGTGCTGGGCACACAGGTGCGTGCCACCAAGTCTGGCTTATATATGTATTTATGGATATGTACTTAATATAGATACATATACAGAAATTTAAATTTTTTCCTACTGCTGAGGTTCAAATCCAAGGCCTAGGGCATGCTATGCAAGTGCTCTACCACTGAGCTAACACCTTGTATATCTTTTATTTTATTAGGAGACTGGTTCTTGCTGTGTACTCCAGGCTGGTCCTAAACACTTTGGGGTCAAAGTGAGGATGGCAGCAGTGGCCTCTTGCCAAGTGATCCTCCTGCCTCAGCCTCTCAAGTAGCTGGGACTACAGAGGTGTGCCTTTCCCAGGGAAGCACCAACCTGACTTTTCCAGGAATGTCTGCCTGAACCCTGGTTATTTCCATCCATGGCTCTACTTCCCTAAGGGCAGGGCGTGGTCTGCTCAGGAAATCTACAAGGAAACCTTCAGGTACTCTGCTTGCTGAGAATCATGGTGAAAGCTCAGCCTGAGGAACCTCTCACAATCTATTGGTTGGGTTCCCTCCTCCTTTGGCTTGGTAGCACTCCTTGCATTTATCACATTTTTACTACAGTAGCTGGGCTACTCAGGAAAGAATCCGGCAGTGTGTCAGGTGACCTGCGTTTTAGTCTCAGCTGCAGCACCTACCTAAGTAAGCCAGAGAATCTGCATCTGCACAATGGGAATAACTACTTATCCCATAGTGTGATCTGAGCATTATTATTTTGGGGCTTTTTGGAGACAGAGTCTTGCTACGTAGCCCAGGCTTGTCTCGAACTCACTGTGACCCTCCTGCTTCAGCTTCAGTGTACTCCCACGTCTGGCCTGAGTACTATGACACAGGCGTCAAAGCAGAAGACAGTCAACACTTGACGTTTGAAACTTCCCATTTGCCAAGCTTCCGAGTATATAAACTGCTCTAAATGCTTGGCCTCCGTTATCTTGTTGCTTTATTTTACTTGACATACCGTACTTTAGACCCCACGAAGACCTTGTGCGGATCCATTACTATGCAATATTTAATTAAAAAATTTTTTTTTTGGTACCGGGGATTGAACTCGGGATCTTGCGCTTGTGAGGCAGGCGGCGGAACCACTGAGCTAAATCCCCGGCCCAACTATAGAACATTTAGCAAACAAACAAAAAAGATGTAGCGACCACAAATATTAGGATCACTGACTCTAGCACAAAACACGGTAGCCCTGCAGTCACTTTTTAGTCTGAACGAATCCGGGGCGATGCTGGAGCGCGCGCGGCACGACCTTTTACTAGTGTTCCCTTAGCTGTCTCGTGCGGAACTCGATCTGTCCTGCGTTACCAGTAATTTTTCACGCGCTTTGCGCATAAGAACTTGCTAAGCAGAAATGTGTGGCATCAGCAGAGGAAAGCACTTTTCCTCGTTTAAGAACCTTCAGCCCAGCCCGATTTAAGGACCACCTACCGGGACTGGTGAGAAGCTCAAGTTTACAGTCCTGGCTTTGAAGAGGACTTGGTTTCTGAAGGGGGCATAAAGACCTCTAAGAAGGAATCTATGCACTGGTTCCTCAGCAGATATTAGGCCGGTGACTCCATTTAAGTGATCCTACTCACTGATCAACTCAAGCAGCTCTGCAGAGCAGGAAAACAGCTTTTCGTTTAGCAACCACAAAAACGACACGAGCCGCTCCACTGAGGAAATTAGTGGAAATTTCCGCACTTCGTCCTCGACAGGTCTGTGGCGGGACGCGGGGGGGGGTGGGGGCTGGGGGACCCGGCGATCACAGAAGTCGCCGCGGTCGCTTCAGGTCCCGGTCTCGCCCGCGGGGAGGCCCTTACGTAACGCCCGGGCCTTTCCCGTTCTTCAGCTGAACAGGCTTCGCTCGAAAGGCAGCCGCGGGGAAGGCCGGGAGCACGGAGAGCCCTGCGGGTCCGCCGCGCGACAGGGCAGCCCGGGGACATCCGGGGGCACCCGGAGTGGCCCCACCTCACGCCAGCCAGCGAGGCGACCCCGCGCCTCCCGCCGGCGGGCTGCCTCGCCCCGCCTGCGCGAACACGTGCTCTCCGGAACTCTCGCGCACCGCGCACCGCCCACTGCGGGGCGGACCTCGGGCCCGGAAGCACCAATCGGTGCGCGCCTTACAGCGCCGTGGCGCGCCGGCGTCGGGCCGTCCAATCGCGGGCGCCGCACCGCCCGTTCCTCGGAGCCCCGCCTCCAACCGCGCCCCCGCCCGCCGGGCTCGCCGCCCCTCCCCCGCTCCGGCGCCGCCCGCGAGGCGGAGAAACTGGGGCAGAAGTGAAGATGGCGGCGGCGGCCTCTCGCCCGTGACGCGCGGCCCGCGCCCGCCCCGCCCGCCGCCCGCCCGGACCCGCGCCGGCGCCTGCTCGGCCCGGCGGCCCGGCGCCATGACGTCCATCCACTTTGTCGTGCACCCGCTGCCGGGCACCGAGGACCAGCTCAATGACAGGTAGGCAGCCGCGGTGGGGCCGGGCCGCGGTGGGGCCGGGCCGTGGCGGCGAGGACGAGGCCCGCGGCGGCGAGGCCGGCCAGGCCCGGAGTCTACGTTCGTCAAAGTTGGATCGAGGCGGACAATGCGACGCGGAGGAGGGGCGGAGCGGTCCTCACCGCCGGCCGCGGGTCGGGGGGCGGCCGCGGTGGGCCTCATCCGGGCCTGTGGGGACCCCGCTGCCGGCCGGGCCGGACCCGGGGCGCAGGTCGGGCCCCCACCCCTTCGGCCCGGCGCGGCGCGGCCTTTTTGTTTCCCCATCCTAACGCTCGGTTTCCGAGTTGAGATCTGACAGCTGGGCGCCGCGGCGCGTGGGGCGGGGGCGCAACTCGCGGGGCCCGGGTGCTCGGCGCGCCGTGCGGCCGGGCTGGGCTTGCCGGGACGGAGGAGGAACTGGGTGTTTAATTTTGAGTGTGTGTGTAATTTTTTTTTTGTCTCCCATAAAGCTGTGTTGCTTTGGTTTCCTCCCCTTCCTCTGCCACCCTCCTCTCCTGCTAGGTTAGGAGATTGGATTGCAGGGCCGCGTGCTCCCGGGGCACGGAGATAACGCAGGAAAAGTTCATTCACTCTTGTGAAACAGACGGGGAGCGGGCAAGCGAGGCTTGCGAGGAAGCGGGTCGGAATCCAGGACTCGACCTCCCGAGGGGCCGAGTGTTTCCAGGGCGGAAAGCAGGCGTCCTAAGCCACCCTTGCCCGGTTTCCCCCAGGTCCATTTCCTCTGAGGTGCAAGGGAGTCTGGCCCCAAGTTTAGAAGCGAGGCATAATTTTCGCTAAGTGCCCCGGTGACTTCAGTTGCATGATGCCCTGTTTGCCACGCGCTTCGCGGGGAGAGGTAGAGGCCTGGGTGGTTGGGAGACGGATGTTTCCGTGTGGGAACAGCTTTTAAATCCAGAGCTGGCCGTGTGGTTGCTGGCTCTGGGCTCAGATTTGTGTGATTCTGCTTTAACCACATTGTTAGATACATGTTTACGAAACTTTAGAAAACCTTTTTGAGACTGTTAACCATTTGGATTGTCTCTTAGCACCTTTAAATGATGAAAGTAACATTTAAGTTACTTAGCATTTTGTTTGCGGTCCATAGAGGTCGTTTTAACACTCGAACCTAAGTTTTTGTAAGTTTTAGAGCCAGGCTAGCAGTGAGGAGGACGGTGCTGCTGTCATTCACGGAAGCATGCCTGTAGTGCTTGTCGCATAACTCAGAACTTAGTAGTAGAAATAGAGCGTGTTTTCTATATTAGTCCCCACTTTATGAACCAAGAGCCCTGGCTGGCCCCTAAGTTATGCATGCCAAACCTGGTTTGCAGTCAATTCAGTTTTTAATATTCCTTTTGCTTCAACTGTTTGAGAAATTTAAAAGTAGCTTTTAAAAAATTTTTGTTTTATTTTTATTTTTTGGTGCTGGTAATTGAACTCAGGGACCTTGAACTGAGTTACATCCTCAGGCCTTTTTGAGACTTGAGACTCCCTGACTAGTCAGATCTCCCTGACTTGCTCAGCTTTCAGAGTGCTGTGATTACAGGCAAGCTCCACCACCCCTGGCTACAAGTAGTACGTCTTTAAAAGCCTTTTCCATTCCTAATATTCTTCTAGTGCCAATATACACTATTAGGAATGTTTAGATTCTTCAAGTGTCAGTATACAATATTAACGTTTAGATCACTGTGAATTCTTTTATGAAATAAGGAAAAAGACAAGTAGATTTGAGTTATAATGTGTTGCATTAAGGTGGCAGATAGATGAGAAAAGAGAAATGCTGTAGGTAGAATTTTAGGTGTCTGGTTGTGTCTGGTAACTGGTGTGTTGTGAAGAAGGTGGATTTGAGACAATCAGGGCCCTTTAAATCTTGATGTTGATTTGTGACAGAAGCTGTTGTGTGTTCTATCTTTCAAAAAGAAATGATCCTTTTTACATACCTATTTGTAAAGTACTTGGGCCAAGCTTCTCCTTTCTTTCTTTTCTTTTAGTGGTATTGGAGATTGAACACAGGGCCTTCTCATTGAACTACATCCCCACTCCATTTTACTTATTTAATTTTTTTTTTTTTTTTTTTTTGCTACTGAGGATCGAACTTGGGACCTTGCACTTGCGAGGCAGGCACCAGAACCATTGAGCTAAATCCCCAGCCCTAATTTTGAGACAGGGTCTTGCTAAGTTATAGCTTGAGGAAGTTCTGTTTCTAAAAGAGATTGGTTTTAATTAAGTAGAACAAAGGTTCCAGAGTTTTCTTATCTTCAGATAAAAATTTTACCAAATTTTAGTAAGTTTTGGAATTAGAAAAGTGTGCTCTCATCACTTCATTTTAATATGAGAAATGTGACGATGAGAGTCACATGAGTAATAAGTGATTATTTTGGAGGAAAAAGTGTATAAATCAGTAAACTTTGTTCTTTACACTAAAAGCAGTAGGATTAGATAAGCTGCATAGTACTGCACATAGATTGTCCAGTGAAAACTTCAGGAGCTGGGTGCGGTGGCGGACAGCTGTGAGCTCAGCACTCTGGGAGGCTGATGCTGGAGGATTGTAAGATCTAGCTCATCCTGGGCAATTTAGCAACCTAGGGAGACCCAGTCTTGAAAAAAATTTTAAAAGATGGGGAATGCAGCTTAACTTAGAAAAAGGCCCTGGGTTCAGTGCCTGGTACCGAAAAACAAATAAAAAACTTCCGTGTTTGCGTAGCATGTGTGAGAACTTGGGGTTGTGTTAACATTGAAAAAAACCCAAAAAGATGAAGGAAAACAAACCTTTTGGGCCTGAAAGTAATCAATATTTTCTTTTCCAAATAGGTTTTCTTTTGTGCTATTTTGACTTTGTTTCCAGGGACTTTCTTGAGTTAGTGCCAAGTTACTGCTTGTTACTGTCTCAGAAGCAGCAGGAGATCCCGGGACTCAGGTCTGTGTGGAGCTGGACCTGCCACCTGGTGGGTGTGGAGGGCTGGGAGCTCCTCTCTGAAGCTGGTACCTGGAGCCTGTCCATGGTGCCCAGCAAGTTACTGAAGCTCTGCATCAGGCGGTGGTGACCAAGTCCGGGTCCTTTCTGCTTTCCCTGTGACCTGTATTCCAGAATATTCCTGGGGTCTCAGGAATCCCAGCCTTAGAGCAGCCAGCTGCCTTAAGGCTTTTGATTCCTTCACAACTCCTCCAGGGCTCCAGATTTGACTTTTCCATTACTGGTGCTGAGACTGGAACCCAGGGCCTCATGTGTGCTAAGCAAGCATCTGGTGGTGAGGTGCATCCCCAGGCTTTTTGTATTTTATTTTGAGACAGAGGGTGGGCCTTGGACTTGGGATCCTCTTTCATCAGCTTCCTGGGTAGCTGGGATGATAGGTGTATACCATCACACCAGGGCAGACTGGCTCCTTATCAGGAGCCCCTTCTTCAGGTGATATGGGTACAGCTGGCCCCCAGATTAATCCTCAGGATGTAGGTTCTTTGCAGTACAAACCAGTTCTCATTGTTATTCTACTTACTTACTGAGTTTTTTTTTTTTTTTGTACGGGAATCGAACTTGGGTCCTTTCGCTTGCTCAGCAGGCAGCGAAACCACTGAGCTAAATCCTTGGCCCACTTACTGGATTTTTTTGACATGGGTTCACTGTGTAGTTCAGACTGGACTTGAACTTACTATGTAGCCCAGGGTGGCAGTCCTCTTGCCTCAGCCTCCCTGTTCTGGGAGCCATGCTACATCGCCCAGCTCCATTATTTGTTTCAACATGGAAAGTTCCTGTAAGCTTTGCCTTTTGACAGCACAGTGTGATGTGCAATGATAAACCAGCTTGGTTAAGATTATCCTATCTAAGACTTGAAACTTTGTATCTGCAGGTGAGTTCCTCCCCTTAGGCCCCCTACTCAGGTATAGCACCAGTTTAGGGGCAGGAGGAACCTAGTGGTTCCTTTAAGCTGCTTCTTGTGCTGGAAGATTCTTAGCCTCCAGTGATGTCTCCAGGCTGCCCTAAATTTGTCATTCCTAGTGAAGGCAGCTCTGCCCTCTAGGGCCTCTTTAGCAGTATCTGGAGACTTTTGCTTTTGTTTTTTGTTTTTCCTTGCTGAGCTTGACCGCAGGGCTGCCTAGCCTGATGTGTCACCGAGTAGCCTGGGCCCAAGTGATTGGTCAGGCCTGGCCATTGCTGGGTGTGGCCCCTAATGTAGCCTGCTCGAGCCCAGAAGGTGCCAGCTTGCCGAGCCCGAGGAGCTGCAGTGCGAGTCCAAGTCGATGGAAAAGTAAGTGCAAGCGACCACTGGGAGGGACAGTTCAAGAAAAGACTTCTCGGAGGAACAGTTCAAGCAGTGTCAGTCGGTCCATCCATCCATTTGTCCATCAGGCAATCATCTATCTATCTTTTTGTGCTACTGCACAACTTAGCCACTTAGGGACCCTGTCTCAAAAACAAAACAAGTCTGGGGGTGTAGCTCAGGGGACAGGCCCCGGGTTCAACCCTCTGTACTGCAAAAATAAAAAAATAATAAAACAACTCTAGTGGGGTATTTTATATTATTTTCTTGATATTATTAGTGTAGCAGTGGTAAACTGCTTCAAATGAGACATATGGTAGATCTTTAGATAACTATGCATTGTAACATTCCTATTTTTTCAGGATAGAAAATGAAGTATTAACTTCTAATGTGGTTTTTTTTTCTTTTGGTACCAGGGATCGAACTCAGGAACTTGCGCCTGTGAGGCAGGCACAGTGCCACTGAGCTAAATCCTCGGCCCACATTTAATGTATTTCTAAAAAAATTTGTCCACGTTTGTAGTACACAATGATTGCATTCCTTATGGGCAGTTGGTCCATCCATATAACACATCTCAATTCTTTATTCATCCCTTCCTGCTTCCCTCCCTCCATCTCTTAATGTTACCTAACTTGTAAACACACAGTTTATCTTAGTTACATAGCGAAAGTGTGGTATTTGGTTTCTGATGGTATCATTTACCTTTTTTATTTATTTTTTTTGGTAACAGGG